TCTCTGTGCCCAGGATGATGTGACCCTTTTGTGGGTATTTATGGGTCACATCATCCTGGGCGCAGAGAGAACCGCTCCTGTCCGTGCTCCTGTCCTCTGAAGATGCCGGTCGCAGATGCTGGCGAAACACTAGGAACCCAAACTTCCAGAACACGGCCACACAGCCCGGGAGACCCACACCAGCCACTGTGCCTCAGACTTTATGGGAGGGTCGGGCAAGTGCTGCTGAATTGCCAGGAGAGCAAGGAAGCAATAAACCCTAACCCGTAGTGTGATAAGGCAACATTGGTTTGCAAATGACAGTTGACGGAATTAACTCGTTTTCTGAGTCTGCACACTACACTGAACCGTAGAGCAATGGAACGGAATGGCTTCACACAACATGCGAGGCAGAAAAGAGAAAGCTAGCCGAGCTGTGCCCGTTGCATGAACGCATCCGCTAGGCCTCTGGCTGGCTGGTCTAAGCGTCTGTCGATGCGGCCGGGTCCTCCGTTCGTATTCCTAGGAAGGCGAGCGCCCCGCCGCATCGTGCCTCCGGTCCCTCCGTTTGTGAATGCCAACCGGGGGAACCTGAATAAGCCAGATTTCCCCTATCGCAGATGGATCTTGAGCCTGCTCCTCGGCCCTTGCGGAGGACCAGCCCAAGATGGCTTTTCTGTATCTCCCGCCGGTCTCCCTCCCGGTTCGCGGGCGATGGAAAGGTGCCCTTGCCCCGGGCTAAGCGCTCTCTTCCCTCCGGGCTCCGCCCCTCTTCGTTTAGCCACGCCTCCCCTGATCTTGCGGAGAACCCTTACCGGAGAAGGAGGCGGGGCAGGCGCTTCTTCTCCTGGCGAGACTTTTGGGCTCCGCCGCTCTCCCATTGGCCAGTTCATCCCCAACCCACGGGCACGTCCAGGCGGCTCGTCCAATCACAAGCCTCGAGGTTGTCCTCCGCATTTTCCGAGCCTCCCGAGAGCGAACCCCTTTATTTTAATACTTTTGGCCTCTCCTGGCTGCCGTCTGCACCATCTCGAATCCTCTCTGGCCGGGGAAGAAACGAGGGAGCGCGGCTCGCGCGCAGGAAGAACGAAGCTGCACCGGGAAAGGGGGGAGGGGGCCCGCCGGCTCCCTTCCTCCTCAGCCGCAATGTCCGCACTGAGCTGGAAGCCGTTTGTCTACGGCGGGTTGGCCTCGCTCGTGGCCGAATTCGGTAGGTGAGATGGAGAGGAAAGGCCGGGCCACGTGCGCATGCGCTGTTTATTCGACCCACCCCTTTCGCGTTACCGGGCAGTAGGCCACGCCCTTTCTCCGGCGCCTAGCAACGCCCTAGCCCGGCTCCGTTCCTGGCCCGCGCACTTGGCCAGCGCCTTTCGCTGCGCTGGCGGGTGGTCGGGCTACTCTGTGTCGGTCCGCGGAGACCTGGCGAGGAAGGGCAGGGAAGTCCGTGGGACGGAGCAGGTCCTGGTCCAGCCCCCACCCCCCTTTAACCGTCCAGCAGGTGACCTTGGGCCGTCCAGTGGCACCGCCCGCCTGGCCTAACCGCAGGATGCTGAGAGGATACGCGGGGAGCGGGAGGGAGAGTTGTCCCGAGGCCTTCGGCTCTTTGGAAGAAAAAGAGGATACGAAGGAAGCTGCGTGGAGATAAAGAGCCATATTGGGACAGGGGAGAAGCTGGCCTGAGTCCCTGGGCGACCTTGGATCAGACCTCCTTCAGGCTAATCTACCTTGTCGGGCTGTTGTTGTTGTTGTTGTTATTAGATTTTTTTATCCCACCTTTTTTTATAACTAAAGGTGGCAAACATACCTAATACTCCCTCCTCCTCCTATTTTCCCCACAACAACAACCCTGTGAGGTGGGCTGGGCTGAGAGAGAGTGACTGGCCCCAAGTCACCCAGCTGGCTTTTATGCCTAAGGGAAGTCTAGAACTCACAGTCTCCTGCTTTCTAGGCCAGCACCTTAACCACTATACCAAACTGGTTATAAAGAAAGCAGAGTGGGAAAAACTGAGGTCGTTAGACAAAGATGAGGCTCTTGGTCCTTTTTAGCCCACCAATGAGTTTTGGCTGTGGGGCAAAACCTTTTTTGGACATGAGATTTTATCACTAGTGGTCGGCCAGAAAGGAACAAGAGCCAAAAAGGGCTGTAGAAATATAAGTAAGTTTTTAAAGCAGGTTCAGTGATGCCAAGGTTTTGGCTAGGAGGCCTCCTGCTTCCTTCTCCAGTTTGGACTCCCAAAGCCAAAATGCCTGTTTCCCCAACCTTTGTCACTACTAGATGGGTGAATCAGCTCTTAGGATTTTGAGAGTTCAGATCCTCCATGTGAAAGTAAGCAAAGTTGGGAAACACTGGCAAGATCTAGTATGAGGGCACAAGCTGTGTGGTTTTATTCAGCGTGCCCAGCTGGATGGCAACCCCTGAACTTGGCTGATCTCAAAAAGTTAAGCAGCATCAGATCTAGTTAGTAATTGATGAGAGACTCAAGCAAATCCAGCTTGGAAGGCTAGATTGGGAAGTCTTTGCCTTTACAGTGGTACCTCGGGTCACGAACTTAATTCGTTCCGTGACTCTGGTCGCGACCCAAAT